CTTAACTTAAGTAAGTAGGTAGGTACTTACGTACCGTACCGTAACGAACGTACTAACTAAAACGAAAGTAAGTAGTAACCTACCTACTACTACCAACCTACGATTACTTGTCCGTCCTCTCTCTCTCTCTCTCTCTCTCTCCCCACTATAGTCTCTATTTAAGGTGTGGTATGCACCATCCAAGCAAACTTGGCGTGGAAAGCCCACTTAAAGGTAAGAGAGAAGGACATGCCTAGCCTACTTTGTGAAAGGGTGGTGTCACTAAGGTGGCATGCCCTAAGAGTCCCAAAGGGTTATAGAAAACCCTAGATCTAGCCTATGTTCACTAAACCCCAGATCTGAAAAAAGTATTGCCTAAGAAGCATCCTGACTCAGAGAATTCAGCAGGGCTAATAGGATCAAAGTGCGCCTCAGTCAAGTAATCAGGTGTGGATGTATCAAGTCCTAAGAGAGTGACTCTAGGCAAAAGTCGAGTAAGTCTTCCCACTGTTCTTGGTTTATTTTCAGTCATTATTGCCTAATTCATTGTAATCTTCAGGAACACTATTTGTATTCAGTCGTTGAATTCACAGTTAAAGTTTCTCATATTAATTTCGCAGTAAAAAGAAAGATCTTGTATACGGTGTTGTTTTTCTTATTTATGGCATTGTTTTGTGGCACTTGCAAGTGGAATTCAGTTATATTAATAAAAGAGAGGAGAAAGTTTTTTACTCTATTCCCTAGAATTCCACATTACCTCTTCTTTCAGTCAGAAAAGTTGAGCAGATAGAATTGTAAATCAGAGCAACAGCACCAATAATGTCAAACAATTGAAACCATAAAAGGGCTTTACCTTTCAGCACCAATGTGTATGGTGCCATGATGCTGAGGACCAGCTTTGGAAAGATCAGGTCTGCAACATTGGAAATGGGGCAATCTATCCACTGCTATATTTATTTTAGTGGTTCCCTGCACCGGTAATAGAAGTTCAACAATTAACAAAAGGAAGCATTCTAGTACTAGCTCATGATGGGCAATCATATGATCTGCATTGTTTTTCAAGATTAACAGTAACAAGCAGTTTGAAACCTTTAACTTTTTAAGGCACAAAAAAGGAAAAGCATTAACATTTTTTTTTTTTTGAAGTTGAAAAGCATTAACTTTTTAATAAGTAACAAAGAAACACTACAAATAAAATGTACGCTTAGCAAACCATGCCTGGTATGTCCTCAATGACAAGTATAACCAAGATGGACATAAAGCCCACAAGCCTACACGTATCACATCACACTCAATTGTAGGCAACTCGAAGAGCACTCCAAACATACAATATACTTTTGTAACTGATAGTAGACACAACTCATTCAGTTTCCAAGTTTGCTTTTGAAGAAACTATTAGCCTTAACAAACTAAGGATGAAGTAAAAAGTGACAAATCTGGAAATCCAAAGATATGAAGCTCATACAGTTTATATTTTACATACACAAACTTACATATATGTAACTATATGTTCAATTTCTCACTATTTATGAAAGCATACACTTGTATCTATGGATGTTATGTTACCATGACATAGGTTACTTCTTCATTAAGATGCTTCTTCCATATGTGTAACACAGAAAGTTAAGTTCCCTCACACACAGATGAATATGTGAGGATTTGGCCACCTTAAGGTATTTTTCTAGGAAAGGTGGCAATGTAGAATTTCAGGCTATAAATTTAAAATACCTGATCACCTGACCAATTGCGCACTTAAAATCCCAAATCCTACTGATTCTCAAATCAGATCTGGGAGGCACCTCTTGGACACCCTTTCTGAATTTATTCGGGTAAGAAAGAAAAAACACAATTAGGGTTTCACTATGAAGACTCCTTTAAACCTGGGGAACGCCACCAAGGCACCTCCCCAATTTTAAACCAAGAGGGATGGGCGTGCCACCCTCCTTAACTGTTCTTAGAGGTGCAAGCCACCCCTACACTTATGGGAGGTGGCGTGCCACTTTTATGAGAAAGGAGAAAGAGGAGCTAGAGAGAAAGAGATGAGAGACAAAATGGCAAGGACAGGGAGAAGGATAGGAGAGAAATCTATGTATTGAAATATGGGAGACACCCCCCTTATTTATAGGCCTCTAGGGTTAGGATGTCCCAGTCAAACCCTCAATGGTAGTACCACATGTCTAGGGGCAAGGATTTTGGAAATGACCCCGGCCATAGACCGCCCAACCCAAGGTCAGTTATCATAGTACACGCCGACTGAAGTGCACAAATCACTATAAATGATTTTATTTACACGCTCTCTAGGCCTTTAAAGGCCACAAACCCCAATATGCTATAAGGTCCGGCCCCCTCAAAATTTAAACTCCTTATCACATAGACAATCTCAAAATAAATACTCTCACACACATGCACGCAAGCGCGTGCACACATACACACACATATATATATATATATATATATATACATATGAGAAATGATATCATGTCACCATGCCATTATAATATAATATCACACACACACATATGCGAAAAGATGGGATTAGCCCACTAGCTCATATGAACATATAAGCCCAACGGCCAATATTGAATCTGGGCCGATCTGACGATCACAGATGTCTGGTAGTGCTTGAATTTTATTTATTTTTCTACAGATCCAAATCACTTGAAATTTTAGGTGTGTGCTCTTCTCATCAAGTCGCACCTAATAAAAATATATAAAAAAAATTATTGGTGAAAAACAAAATGACCAAAATACCCCTCAAAGCTTTTCGGGTGCATTTTGGTCAATTTATTTTTTGT